TATTTTAATCATTATTAATATATGTTAATTATTTTTTACAAATAGCTTTTTCTTGATTTGGACAGGCAACAGTGAAGATATACTGTAACTTCTTTTGGCCGGACATGCATACATGAGTGCTTCAAAAATAAGACTGCATATAGGCACCTTTAACAAACTGTTTTGAATATACTGTGATTTGGGATGCTCTAGTCCTAATCTACCACACTATATTGTATAGGTTGGATAGTATACAAATTAGCATTCAAAAAGTGTTTCATCCTACTGTATTTAAAGCCAGCAGTGAAACTGCATTGATAAATCTCTGCAGCATGGCAGTTATTTAAATTGTGAAGAGTAGCAGACCCTCTTTCCGGATCTCTGGAGGGTGATGTCAGGAGACCATGAATCCTTCTCTGCTGTCCCCCTGCAATCAATCACCATATATCATATATATTTCATATGTTCAAGATTGTATTTATAATATCAATCATTTGTTATTTATATATAGAATCAATTATAATCTCTTATCTGACCACAGTTATGTCTACAAGAACTTCATCACTCCCATATTCATTTTTTTTTGCTGTAGATGTGATCCTGGCACGGCCCTGACATAATTTATGAAGCGCTGCAGAAACACGGCTCTAGCTCAGGCTAATTGGTGAATAACTATTACCTCTCAGCATGACGTGCTACTTCTACGGCCTTGGGCTTCTGTTCCTGGATCCTGTCTGAATAGTCATCTATTACATTCAGTGCTGAGTCAGCAGCAGGACTTCTGATTCGCGGCTGTGTTAACCTGAAATACAGCTGGATTCTTGTCAGGATGTAATGGGAAATACAGACTATGCTTGTAGATAAAAACACAATCCTGCTTAAAACGCCGGCTTATATACCAGCTTCAGATGCATTGTTTTCTAGTGATACACTGTATATCATACAATAGGGCTGTCAAAAATAACACTACACAAGACTTTAGGGCTGACCTATATACACTATACAACACACTATATATATTAGAGGCACATATAAATGTGACATTTATTATTATGGCTTTATGTGAAGATCCTTTGAAGTTCAATTAAGTTATAATATTTTTTAATGCTCTGTCAAAAGTTTGGGTCTGTTAAATGGTATAAATGATGGCACATATTTAACTGTAATGTTGAATGGCTGTTGAAGTCATTTTAACCCAAAAATTTATTTAAAAGCGGCATATAATGGTCTTTATTCATAGTACTTCAGCATAGTAGTACATAAAGTAGTACTTCATTTAAAGATGCTATTACAATATTAAAAAAAAACTGCCTTTATGATGTTTTTAGAATGATTAGATTATTAGAATGATTTCTGAAGTGACACTGAAGACTGAAGTAATGCTGCTGAAAATTCAGCTTTGCCATTGCAAAAATAAATTACACTAAAATACAACAAAAATTTAATAATACTATTTTTGCTGTACTTTTAATTTATTATATTAGATATTATTCTATTGTATTTATGTAAAAAAAAAAAAAGACTGAAAAACCTATGCACATCCCTGGTTATACTTTTTTTTTTTTTTTTGTATTATTGAATAACTGAATTGGTTTGAATGATTTCATTTAAATGATATTCTGAATGAACTGATTCACTAAAATGAATCTGAGTGGATAGAGTGAAAAAACTGCCAAAATAACTGCAGAGTACTCAAAACCATCTATGCACATAGCCAGCAAGTGGAGGATGAGTTTCCTGTTGGACCCGCTGGGGTGTAGGGAACTTTTGTATCTGTATTAACAGAAGTAATTGCATGTGCTTGGCCATGACATCAAGGTGATTAGCCCTAGGCAAGACCACAGGCCAGGAACACCCAAACATCCCGGACAGCCTTACTGTCAGCTGTAAGGTGAGCCTTCTTCATTATCTGTCCATCAGAAGAGAGAGACAGGCCGAGAGGGAGAGAAACAGCATGACGGAGACCATTTGGAGATAAATGCACGGTTACTATTTTTTCATATGTAACACAATTAGCAGTGATTTTCACAGGCTGATTTGGATAATTTGTGGCAGAGTGTGCAGTTTGACTTTGGCATTGTTTACACTCTGTGTTAAAGTGTTAAATAGTTGAGCCAAAAATGAGATATCTGTCATTATTTACTCACCTTCATGTTGTTGTTTTTCAATAGGAACACATTTGAATTTCAGTCTAAGCACACAAAACTATATAGTAGGCCACTTAATGGCTTCAGAAGACATGGAATTCATGTTTGAGGTATGACCTTGTGCAATTTATGAACCAGATGTGAAGTAATATTAACCACAGACCTTATTTTAATCTTAAATTAAAAACCGCTTTTCTAAAAAATGAGGAATTCCCACAGGAACCCATGGTGAATTAGCCTTCCGGCTTGGCCTACAAATTGACGTTATTTCTGAACAGCTCTATTGTGATTTTGTTCCACTGAAATACTCTCTGGTTTCTGGGTGAACATCACCCTTTGACATACGCGTCACCCTCCACCTGCCAGTCAGCAGCCGGGACGAGAGAGAGAAGGGAGAGAGAGAGGGGTAAATAAAGAGGATAATGAAGAAAGCTAATCGGATTGATCAAATTTCCTGTCACTAATGAAAGGAAAGTGAGTCTGGTTTCTTCCCATGTCTGTGATAAAGATGATTAAGTGTGAACATCTGATAAACTTCAGGCTCCAGTGAAAGCACTGAGGGAAAGACGTGTGAGAGAAAGTCTCTAATTTTGTGGGTTTGGCCTTATTAGAGCATTTTGATGTGTAGATTGTGTCTCAATATGAGTGTGTTGGAAGTGGTTTAGATTTAGTTCTGTTCCAAATCTAGTAAGCTGCCTTCTGTCGCTATAGACGGCATTTTAAGGGTTTCACTTCCGAAGTGAATCCTTTCTTTTGGCAAAATTCTAAGGCTGCCTGCATCGCATTTGTCCTTTGTAGATAAAGCATTCCCACAATGCATTGATAGTTCAGTAAAAATAGCTAAATTTGTATTTTACTGAATGTCGAAAACAAATAAAATTGCCCAAAAATATTGGTCAGTATGTGCTATGTATTTTTATGCTTGTTAGAGTATCACGTTGTTAACTTAGCAACATACCATGTGTCGTTCAACTGGAAATGCCTTTGAATTCCAATTCAATTTCTTAATTGAATTCAAAGAATTTGAACTAAAATGAATTGAACATTAAGAAAATATAATTCTAAATCTAACTAGAAAAGCAAAAAAAAAAAAGTTCTAACAGCTTTAAAATTTGAATTTATAGGCCTTACAGACAGATTAAATTTGATTCAAATTCCAACTTGTCAACTAAATTGGTTCTTCAATTCTGAACTTTCAAAAAAGCCTAAATCAGTTTTTTTTTTTAAAGTTCGCCAGGATTTGAAGATTTATAGGCCTTATGGACAGGTTCAGTTGGGTTCACATTCCAACTTGTGAATTGAAACTAAACCAAATTTCAATTCTGAATTTAAGTTGATGCCTTTGTGTAGAGTGATTTAAGTGTAAATCAGTTTAGAAAACAGTTTAAAAAGATTTAAAATTTGACTATTCATAGGCCTTACGAACAAACTCAGTTTGATTCACTTTCCAGCTTGTGAAATGAAACTAAATTAATTCTTCAATTCTGAATTTGTTGCAGCCTGCGTAATAAATGTAAATCAGGCCTTAGTAGGGTTCCACTGACTTAAGATGCTTCCTATACATGCAGTAGACAGCAAGACAGCTCACTAGGTTTCTGAAGGGGTTCTTTATTTTCTCTTGCGTGATATAACTGTAAATTAGCAGTCTCGGTTGATCTTAGATCTAATGCTAAAGAGCCTCATTTTAAAAACTGATATTCCCCTCACTATTCGGCGCCTAAGCGAAACACCTCGAGGCAGCGTCCTCATTTGTTTGGTGTGTGCCACCCAATTTCCATTGATTCAGAACCTTGGAGCTTGTCGCTGTTGGCAGTTAAGGGGAAAAGAAGCACTAGAGGACCACAAAGCTCTTTTCACTGTATCAAGGGTAGCT